CATACGAGGTACCGCCATCTTGGTGCACTCGTTTCGGCCTCCATGAGCGAGAACCAATCAGAATTGGATTTTTTTTTAGGCCACTTTCAGCCCAACCCTGGCCCAACCAAAAGTGAGTTGTCGTAACTCTGGGTATAAAGGGACTCTACTTGGGCTGATTTAATCCGTTCCTTTCGCGGCAAACCGTTTCCGTCCGTTTTTTCTTTCGCGGCAAATTCAAATTCACGCCTAGTGTATTTGCTAGAGTACCTGTATAGCGAGAGTATGGACATATCGTCACCTTCCAGGCAAAGTATCACAAGCGCCATGCGACGTTTAAAAATTTCCGCCGCCATTTTATTTTTTTACTAAGAAATTGTTGGTTGAATCTGTTTGGAAATTTCACTAAATTTTATCGGCAGCACAAAGAAAATTCGGTGAAATTTTCGGACAGCTTCGTTGAACAATTTCTCTGTAAAAAAAATAAAATGGCGGCGGAAATTTTTAAACGTTGCATGGCGCTTGTGATACTTTGCCCGGAAGGTGACGATATGTGAAACTCCGAAAATCCATCAGGCCTTCACCGATGCTTCTGCGGATAAAAGCGTCCAGCCCACCTACAAACAGGGGCCTCAAAGAGGCTCATCGATGGGACTGTTGACTGTTGCCTTTCAAAGATCGTCGGGCCGACGATCTTTGAGGGTAACCGATGTATTCGGGATACATCACAGATCAGATCTTGAAATTTTCAAGGCATTCCGTGCAGAAATGGCTGAGAAATAGAAGAATTAGTGCCAGTTTGAGAGCCCCAGTTTGTACGTGGGCTGGACGCTTAAAGTTAGGGCCCAGAAATGCAGCCAACCTATGAATTTCAATTATTCAGAACGATTTACTAATACTATTGTTACGAACCGTCGTTTATAAAGCACGTGTTTGACTCAGTTTTTGCATAAATTTACTCAATTTTGCGGAAGAACGCTCATTTATGTACATTCTTGGCCATCTTGGTTAGAATTGGAACCTGCAGACCGGCTGTTATGCATTTTCTCACAAAAAATAGAGGTTAGGCAAGACAAGAATAAAGGAAAAGTGATGGAAACGAACCTTAGGAAGGAAGAATTTGGAAACCCAAATTAAGCTAAAGCCCTTTCCACACGTTGCAAGTTTTGCTGCAAGTGAGCCGAAAGTGGGAGTCATCACTCATCGATGATGCTGAAATTTGCGTCCCGTCCGCAAATTTCACGACCATCGATGAGTGATGACTCCCACTTTCGGCTCACTTGCATCAAAACTTGCAACGTGTGGAAAGGGCTCAAAAGAAGCATTTAATGAAACAAGAAGGCACACAACTTTCTTACCTTATAATAAGGAGTAATTGTAATAAATAACAAGAATAACTGGGTTTTTACCAAAAAGAAGACAGATCATACAAACATAGATCAAGTTGTAAGACATTATGGAAAAAACATGGTAACCATGGATATATATATATGGAACACCGGCAGTGAAATTTTGTGCGTTAGAAGTTGGTTAGAAGGGTGGCTGCACTTTTGGGCCCTAAGCCCTCCATGAAGCGATCTGTCCATACTCTCGCTATACAGGTACTCTAGTATTTGCTCCCTATCTTTGCATAGAGAGTTTGTTTTGATGTAGAGGTGGACTCTCAGGGTAGGGCGGGATATCCCCTCCATTTTGGCCTCACTTTGAGAGCCTTTTTTTAGCTTGGGAGACGATTTCAGAGAAAACCAGTGGCACCATCGTGTTTCTCGCAAATTTTTACATAAGAATCAACGGTCAAATCGCAAATCCTTCACACAAATCATACAGTCATGCAACATCTCCATTGAAAAATATAATCGATAGTCGAAATATCGGATTTTCAGATATCGATAGTTAAATCGAAATTTTGACTTCCGACATATCAACTATCGACATCGAAATCGGAGCATGAGCATGTCTAAGTTCCACGTCCACGTTGGAGGCTATCATCCCTTGAAATGGGGATTGTTTTCATCCTTATCGACGTAACCATCAATCGTGTATTGTATGTACTTTATCGCAGTGAACTAGCACAAAGCATACCTCGCTTCCTATAATTAATTACCACTAGTCTCGTCTTTATAACTTGGCGTCCCTTCGCCACAACTAAATTCTACGAATTGAAGTGCCTCCTGCGCCCTCTCAAAAGTCAGGGAGTTTCTTCCGCTTTCAACGAATTTAGCGATTATTCCATCATGATGTAACAACAGAACTCAGTGAATCTATACATTCGCATTAGTGAAGTGTTCGCGATTTCCCTCGTTGCAAGTTTTCTCGTAAGAACTCCCGGAGGTCGTCCAGTTTGTGGAATGTGCTTGTTGTTTGCTGTATGTTTAGTGAGATTTTCCCCAGGCGACTTTTTCAAAATTTGACTGATACGGCTACAGTTTTGTTTGATCATTATCTTCATTTTTGAAAATTACATTTACCAAAGTCTATCTTATTGTTCTGGAATTTAATTCGGTCAAAGTCCGAAAATTTCTCAATAAATCTATCCCCCTTTTATCCCATATGGTTTAACGATGTCGATGCCATCCGACTTCATGGACCTGTTTTTCGACAGAGACACAACTGCTCTACAATTCCTTGACAAAGACTTCAACTACAAAACCGATGGATTGGAGCTTTCCTCTGACAGTAACCAATACCTCAATGTAAGTTTACACAATTACCATTTAAGTAATTACGAAGATTTATTTACACCTAATACTGCATCCCTTTCGCCTAAATTTTACTCTTTCACCACTCACTTTCTGCTCTTTTCTTGGATCTGGGAAATGCATCATCCTCCAAGGGCCACTATACTTTGACGTGTAGCTCTTCAATAATTATCCAATCTGATGAATCCATGTTATGGAACCATGCCCTCTGTTGAGCTGTCAGTAATTCTTGATCCCTGAATGCACTTAAATTCACATGTAAACATTTTTTCAGTGCTAGGTCATAAATTTGTGACAGCATTCTAATTTGAATTGTATCAAACTTTCTCATTGCTGATTAGTTTAAAATTAGTCATAAACTTGTGTTATACAAACTTGGTTTTTAACATGAAGCATTGATAAGCCATATTATTAATCATTGATTGATTAGAGTCCATCTTGTTTGTTTGGATCATAGTCGTATTTTGTTCGAAACAACATTTGTTCTGAATCAACAATTGTTTCTGTTTTTTTTCTTGTTTCTTTTGCGTGATTCTGAACAACCAATGAGGAAGCGAATTCCAATTTTAGGTCAGAAAACAGCTTTGTCTTGGGCAACAATATAAACACGATTTGCCTCTGAGCTTATTGCAGGTGCTGTACAACAATGTTGCTATAGAGGTTCCCAAATTTTGCGCGCTAAAACAAGCCCCGCCCCCACAACACAAAACAACTTAGAACAAAATGCGATTGTTGCTTGTTTTACCAACATGTTGCGAGTGTTGCCTCCGAACAAAATACGACTCATTTTGCTTGAAGAGTGATTATCCACTTTTTCTGTTGGCATTTCAATCATTCTGCACAGGCATGAAGGAAATATTCCATCATGCGCCTGCCGTGAAAATGTAAAAGGATGGCCAATTTTGAGGAGTAAAAAGTGGAAAATTGAAGGAAACAAGCAGGTAAAAGCCCTCATTTTTTAAGCTTGCAAGCAAATGATAAAATTGGGGAAGCTAGCTAGCAGGTGCATGAAACTTTCCCTCAACCCTACCAATTAGTTTGAAGTCATGAATATTATCAAGGGGCTAAAAAAAAACCTGTTCACAAGGGGAGGATGAAATCTCAATGAAAATGTTAAAAAAGTGTGACAAATGGATCTCCCTCTGTATAACCTTTATTTTTAATTTGTCTTACTCATATGGTGTATTTCCCATAGACCTGAAAATAGCCAAAGTAACACCAATATACAAAGCAGAGGGATCATCATAGAACCAAAAAATTACAGGTACCTATTTCGGTCCTATCAAATATTTTTAAAATATTTGAAACTGCCATTGAAAACAGACTTATGTCCTATATCAACAAACATAATATTATACCAAATACTCAATATGGATTCCATAAAGATGAAAACACCTCTCAAGCAATGGCCGAATTAATAAGGAACACAACAACAAACCTTGAGGAAACGAAGAAATGCGCAACAATTTTCATGGATTTAACAAAAGCTTTTGACTCTGTCTCCCATAAGAAACTTTTAAAGTAGTTAGAAAAAATCGGCAAAAGGGGAGTTGCACACACATTTTTTGCCAACTATTTAAAGCAAAGAACCCAATGTGCTAACAATAAGTATGAAAAAATTAGTAGGAAATCAGATGTAAAATGGGGTGTATGACGAGGCACCGTCCTAGGCCCAATACTGTTTCATCTACATTTTGCTGATGACACAGTTTTGCTCTTCTGGGAAGATTCCCGGGAGGCCTTAGGCCGGCAAATCAATGAGGTGATGAATATGACTGTTAAACCATGGTTCAATTGTAACTTCATCTCTCTAAATTTTAAACAAGACAGTCTGTACCTATGCCATTCCCAGCTTCTAACTTTCCTGAGGCAGAAGACAAATGGAGAATAACTGTGCATAATTGTGATAGCTTGGGTTTCTGTCAGGGATGCGATTGTCCTGCTTTGAAAATTATAAATAGCACTAAATACTTGGGTGTCATACTTGAAGGTGATCGAAGCTGGCATGAACATGCCAGTTACCTTGAAGGTGGGCTGAGGAAAGTGGTTTTTACTCCAGCCCATCAGCTAAGATATCTTTGTATTAATTCATTGAGGCTCATATACATGGCTCTATTTCAATCGATCTTAGGATATGGAGTAGCTGTCTTTGGTGCGGCTTCCGATACGGTGTTGGCACCCCTAGAGAGATTAGGTATGGAGGAAGACCATCAAAGTCATACTTAAACTATGAAAGAGATATCCGTTCGCTGAACTTAGTACCCTACTTGATGTACGGACACTCCATGAATTGTACCACAAAGATCTCAAAGTTTAGTTCCAGCATTCAAAAACCATTTAATGTATGAGCAAGTAGATTACCAGTTGAGAAATAGAGGAGAAGCCAAACCAATAATACCTTTTTGCAGATTGGAGCTCTCCAAAAGTAACTTCTGGTACAATTTAATTGTGTGAGTCAATGAGGGAGCTAAGTAGGTTGGTTTCTTCCATAAATTCTTAAATGAATACTGTGCACACCAAGTTATTCTATTTATAATTTATTTATGTCTAAAACAAACAAAAAAAAACACTCTAATTCGTCCACTATAAATCCCTCTATGAATTCTGTCACACTTTGTTATTTTATTCATAATTTGTTTATTACAATATTTATACTTACTTTGTTACTTTTTAATTTTATTTTTTGATTTTTTTATTTTATCTACTTAGTCATTTAGGTATTTATTTATTTGTCTTGTCTCTCTCTCAATACTGCTCTATCAAGATTTTTTAAAAATCACTGAATTGGGTTTCTTTATTTAAGTATATTATCTATCTGAATGCTGTTTGGTCGACCTGACATCCACCACTCGAGCTGTGCTCTCGGTGGGGGATGGAGCTGAAATTGAATTATTGTTAATATGTCACTGAATTAAAATATGTAAATTGAAACGTGAAAACTTGAAAGATTCTGCTCCCCCGGTTCTATACAAGTTTTAATTAATCGTCCATTTACATTTCCTTTCAGAATGAAGAATTACCAGATGAGTTCTTGGATTCTATCCTTAAGATGGAGTCTGAAGCTTCATTTGATCTGCTGAATCAGAATGGGTTCTTATCGGATGATGTTCTCACCTCTGTGGAGTCCAATGTGGACAGCAGCTCCTGCTCTGAAAGCGGTAAGTCAATTTTTTTGTGTACATGTGCATAATGTGCGCACCTCAAATAGCAAAATGGTCTTTTATTTTACCTTATCTTATTTTTATGTAAGTATAATTTATTATGACCACATAAAATTTTAACCAGTGGTATATAACAGATTTGCTGTTATCACCATGACCGAAGATATCATACAATAACATGAGTGCAATTACCAAGCTGCAATTCATTGGACAAAAATTTAGTTCATTTCGATGTGTCTCTACAAAAAGCCTCAAGCGGCAAAATATAGACGCACAGGAAACTAATTTTAGGACGCCCCTCCAGGTTGCTAGGTGAGGTGTGGTTGATGAGGGGATGCATAGTCATTTCCTGATTAATATTTCAAGTTACATGCCTGTGGTCAAAACTCAGAGAGTATAGAAGGTTTTCCTTCTCTTTGCAATGTGGGCCAGGAGGGCCAGTTGCACCAATATAATTTATATCTCGGTTAAATCTCATTGGAAGTCACTGATTTTTGGTAAGTGGGGGTTTTCTTGGTCACTAAACTCAAATCTGATGTCAGATTTGGTTAAAAATTACAAGAAAATTATGTTATGTGGACTCAAGTGAATCCAGTGAAAACTCTTTTTCTCTCGTCTCGCTCTCATCTTTGTATGTTTCTTTTTCATCCTTTATCGGGTTTTTTATCAGATAATACTCACTTTTTTCTTTATCGCCCGATTATTATGTGTTAGCTTGACAACTGGAATCTAATAATTGGGAGAAAAAGAAAAAAGTGAGTATTATAATCTTCGTATGATTTGACGCCACTTGAAAGTCTGAGAAATCTTCAAAAACAAAATGGTCATCTAAAAATAGAGCAATAAGTGTCTTGGTAACGACCAAAAATTTTCAAAATCAGTCTCAGAAAAGAGAAAATTGTTAAAACAAAGGAACTCGTACTATGTTAACTTTTTTGGTTACTAGGTTCTCAAATTACTGGCTTTTGAGAGCAAATATGGATGAATGAAATAAGCTTTTACAGTATGAAAATTAAATGTTTATGCTTCCAATAAGAACACAATGAAATCAGAACAAGGCACATGAGCCAGGGTGTCTAGCGACCGGGAAAGTCAGGGAGATGTAATTGGTCAGGGAGAAGTCAGGGAAGAAGAACGCGAAACCGGGAGAGAAGCGAACTCCTGTCGAAGACCGCGATTTTTTGCATAACTTTACGGCGCTTCGATATTTAGCCGTGCAGCGCTCTCTCATGGTCTGAGGTGCCATCTGAACCATTAGTGCTGACATAGAGTAAAGAGACTACGTAGCGTAGTCTCTTTATTCTATGGTGCTGACTAGTTGTGCTCCCTCTCTCTATCGCTTTGTTGCGTCCGCGACGCCTCCTTTAGCGTCCATGACACCTCTGGAAGTGTCCGCGGCGCCTTTTGAAGCGTCCACGACGCCTTTAAAGCGTCCGCGACGCCTCCTTTAGTGTCCGCGACAAGTCTTAGGCGTTCGCGACGCCTGAGAGAGTGTCCGCGACACCTCTTGAAGTGTCCGCAACGCCTTTTGAAGCGTTCACGACGCCATTAAAGCGTCCGCGACGCCACCTTTAGCGTCCGCGACGCCACTTTTAGCGTCCGCGACACCTCTGGAAGTGTCCGCGACGCCTTTTGAAGCGTCCACGACGCCTTACAGCGTCCGCGACACCTCTGGAAGTGTACTATTTCTTCCTCTATTTATTTAATTCTCGAAGTTGCAAATTTCTATAAGGTTTTTTGAAGTAATAAGCAAAGATCTTCCAAAGCATTACTATTAAGTACAAATTATGATGTAATAGTGGAAGAAAGAAAAGAATCTTTTTTACGAGAGTCTATGTTGACACCCAAGGACTGCAGAAAGGTTTTTATTCTTGAAAATAATCCATTGCTTTGAAGGGTGGAAAACATAGTACAGACTGAAAACAAATCTTGGTAAAAGGTCATGAAAAGTCAGGGAGAAAGAAAATTCGATAGGTCAGGGAAAACCTTGAAAGTGGGGAAGAATGAAAAGAAAAATTTGCTAGACACCCTGAATGACGAAGTAGATACAAGAATGGAACTAAACACAACCATTTAATATAAAAAATAATTCACAATAAGGGTAAAAATCAACCCGGTCTCAGTAATAATAGAACTAAGTAAACATAACAATTCAATATAAAAACTAATTCACAATAAGGGTGAAAAATCAAACTGGATTAGGTGTAGGTAACAAGATAATAAAAGTGAATATTTATCACAGAAAAGTAGGAAGAAAATTTTAAATAAGTATGATTTTAAACTAAAAAGATTTCTGTATCAGTTCTCATCAAATATTAGCACCACAAAAAAAAGTAGTTTCCGATAAAAACTTGGCATGAACATGTTATTTAAAAAATATACCCATCTTGCGACACTTATTTAAGGTAAAAAATGAGGAATTTGAATCACAGATAAAATAAAAAATATAAGGGCAGAACTGTCTCCTAAAATAAAAGAATGCGCTCACACAATGATATCAAAAGTGATGAGGTGGTTACAAGTATGGCAAAAGATCGATCAAGGAAAGCATTTCATCAGGGATTTCTTTCTTTTTAGGATTTCTCGCTTTCATCCTGCTCAAAATAACCGGGTCAGACATTAATAGGAGACGCATGAAGACATTCCTAAGGTTTTCTATCCGATTAAATTTTCGAGCATGATGTTCTTGAATATTCCTCTTGAATCTGTTTTGGGACTCGTGTGACTCTTCAGAGAGCATCCCAATGGGTGGTACAGCTACCTGAATGACTCTGCATCCATGTAATAGTACTCTATGAACAGAGATGGGCATCGGATACCAGGGACATTTCATGAAGTGAATGTTGGCTGTTTCTAACTGCATAGGCGTTGAACTTCACAGAATATACCTCAAAATCACTATTTATTACTCTGAGGATTATGCCCAATCGTTCGATTAAAGTCACATAAATCCTAGTGATTTTGGCAGCCGAATCAGGATTTGAAAAAAGTTTTCTGCTGGTATTGCCCTCATTTGTGTTACCTGAGCCTCCCTGTTTGGGCATGTCTACCAAAAGACCCATCTCTTTCCTCAACCCATCTTGAATTTCTTTTTTCTTATCGCTTTGAGCTGTTTTTGCCCAGAACTATGGCTCTGCCATTTGTTTGTATCTAGCTTGTACGCAATATGAATGGCCAGGGGTGCACATTTTACTATGCTTCCACAATTTCGCGCGATAAGCTTTTCCTCTTCCACAAAAAATTTTAAAAAAATTTCCACAATTTCGTGACTAGTTCCACAAAAAGTGATGACCTTTTTTTTTTTTTTTTTTTTTTTTTTTTTTTTTTTTTTTTTTTTTTTTTTTTTTTTTTTTTTTTTTTTTTTTTTTTTTTTTTTTTCCCGGTAAAAAATATGGGATTCAAAGAAAAGAGCGAGAAAAGAACCGAAAGAAAGAAGGAAAGATAAAAAAATTTCCACAAAATTTGGGACGCTACCACATTTTCACGCGATAATTTATCGCGTGATCGCGCTTCCAAAAATTGGGAAGGCCTTCCACAATTTCACGCGATAATTTATCGCGTGATCTAGTATATTGTGCACCCCTGTGAATGGCACATTCAAAAACACGTTTATAGCAATGCAGATGACTCAAGCCAAACTCTAATGCTGTCTCATCAACATCTCTTTCCAGAATTTGATCGATATTATTTGCATTACACGGCGTAATACCACAAATCGCACATGTTTAAGAGGATGTATCAGTAATCACATTATATGCCTTTCCATCGATCATGGTCAACTTTCAAACGTGTTTGATTTGTAAAGTTTCCTTGAAGGACGGTTCAGTCACTTTCGATGGAATCAAGTTAGAAATCTCGGCTTTGACGGATGCTTTTTCATTAATTAGAGTTTCTTCTGTCTCCTTGGTGAAACTAATTCGAATAAGCCGGCAAAATTGGGCAGACCTGGGTTTCAAATTCTACTAAACAACCTTAGAAGTTTCAACATCAGTTACTTAGTTGTAACGGAACGAGAGATGTTCCAAACATACTGTTATCATCTGCATCGTCTTCGCTAAATTTCATTTTCTAACGGCTTTGACCTGTTGCACCATCAAAGCCCCATTTAGTTTCAAGGCATAAAACCCGTGTGGATAAATTTACAAAAGACTCAGCAGTTGTGAACATTAACTGGATTATGCGCTGAGCTGTGTGGTCCAATAATGCTTGACGTTTTACCTCGGCACACGTTATCCGAAGAGGAGTCTATTTAAATGTTTTTCCAAAAGATCACGAAAAATATAATTTTTATGGGCCTGAAAAACTCTAAGGAGAAAAATTTTTTCGTGCTAAAAAGGATCAAATACTCCCAAAAACAGTTGGAATCAATAACATTGTCAATCTCCGACACCTTTTAAACGGCCATTTCCAGTTGGTACTAATCCTGGTCATAATGTAGAGACATATATCTTTTACCAGTTTTGCCCAAACAAAATATGTAACAACCTTTTAAAGCGAATGTTGCTCTTGAAGTAAAAAATCAATGAGTATTGAAGTTCCCGCTCAATGTTCGAAATGGAATAATCAGGGCAATACCCTTTTATTATGCGTTCGTACTGCTATTTCTTAAACTGCAACATTCTGGGAGTAGATTCTCAAACCAGATCGTGTTGATTGGATACTTCGTGCAGTTATGTAATGTGACACCCCCCCCCCCTCAAGAAAAATAACCATCAGGAAATTAATATCAGCGGAATAATTAATCTTTCTTGATGAGTAAACTTTAATACATTTGTTAAAATTATCATATCTAGTTCTAGCACTGAGGCAAGTTTTCAAATCAATAATCCTGCATTGAGTGTGAATTTGCCATTTAAAGGATATTTACCATATTGTAGTTAACGATAGGGTAAAATTGACTTTAAATTCGTGATTAGCGACCCAAAAACACATATTAACATATATTGTATGCCAGTGAAGGTGATATTCTAATGAATGCCGCCTAGATCGGGCTCTGG